GATTCTTAATAAAAAAGAGTAAGAAGGAGACCTGGATTGAATATGTTAGAAGCATTAACACATCCACACCAGCAAATATAATCTGGAACAAAATAAAGAAAATAAAAGGATCAAGTTTACCTTACTCAATAAATGCACTTTCATATAACAACCAAATCATCTCTTGTAGAAACGAAATTCCTGAAATTCTAGTAGACGTATTTCAAAAAAACTCTAGCGATTCTGTACTAGATCCGATCTTTTCTATACATAAGACTACCACAGAATTTGTAGACATCAAAATTCGCAACCAGATCTCTCCCATAAATGTACCCATAACTTTGCAAGAATTAGATTTTTCTCTTTTAAACTTAAAAACCACATCTCCAGGTCCTGATGATATTCCATCGATATTTTTAAAAAATCTACCCCAAAAATGCAAAAAGATACTTTTAGACATCTTTAATCACATCTTTTTAAATCATTACTTTCCTGATAATTGGACGAAAGCTATTATAATCCCAATTTATAAACAACACAATCCAAAAGATTGTCCTACATCTTACCGTCCTATTTCCCTCACCTGTAACATGTGTAAACTTCTCGAGAAAATTTTAAATTACAGGCTTACATGGTATCTAGAAAATGAAAATCTCCTGACCACCGTTCAAAGTGGTTTTCGACGAGGAAGATCTGCTAACGACAACTTAGTGGCACTTGAGTCAACCATTCATGATGCATTCTTACTAGATCAGAAAGTTATAGCAGTCTTTTTTGATGTGAATAAAGCTTTCGACACAACATGGAGATACCTCATATTAAATAAACTTGATAAATGGGGAATTCAAGGACATATGCTTGCGTTTATAAAAAACTTTCTGAATAAAAGGGAAATACAAGTAAGAGTAAATGGATACACCTCTACCACTAGAATACTTGACAACGGTGTTCCACAAGGTTCTATTTTAAGCCCAACTTTATTTTTTAATTGCATTTAACGATGTAATAAATACAATTAAGCCTCCTATAAAAGCAAACTTATACGCTGATGATTTAGTTGTGTATATTAAATGCAAAAATATTACATCTGGGGCTAAAATATTACAGAACCTTCTATACAAAATCGAAGAATGGTCTTCCAAAACAGGCTTCCTCTTTTCAACTAATAAGACACATTACACAGTTTTCAGCAAACGCAAGAATACCATTCCTGTTTCGTTAAGATTTAACGGTCAAAATATATCTCATTCAGAGGAATCGAATTTTTTGGGCCTAACGTTTGATTACAAATTAAACTGGAAAACACACATTACGACTTTACAACTAACTTGTCAAAATAGAATAAACTTGCTGAAAATTCTATCCAATAATATATGGGGAGCTGATTCTAGTATTCTGCTTAACCTCTACAAATCAATTATTCGAAGTAAACTAGACTATGGTGCAATATGCTACGATACAGCAAATAAAACGTTTCTAAAAAACCTTAACACAATTCAAACAACAGCTCTAAGATTAGCCGTCGATGCCTTCAGAACCAGTCCTGTAAGCAGCTTACAAGTAATATTAAGAGAACCCCCTCTACATCTAAGACGACATCTACTTAGTTTAAATTATGCAGCAAGAATATCTTCCAATAAAAAGCACCCATTATATTCTGAGATTATTAACGCACCTACATCCAATTTGTATAGAAACAAACAATATAAAGACAAACCCTTTAGGGAAAGAATCAATCAAAAAGGATTCAATTGCAATGAATTCAAATTATCCATAACTACAAAATTAGACTTTCCTCCAATGGCTTACCCCCTTACCTATCACCGATTTAACTTTAACACAGTACCCAAAAAATACCACAAATCCTAACCTTATCATTAACGCATTCAAAGAAATTATGGAGAAGTATCCAAATCACCACATAATATACACAGATGCATCAAAAACTGAAAGTGGCCATGCTGCAGCCTTCACAAATAAAAATTACAAATATGCCATTAGAATTCCACAGCATTGCAGCATTTACACCGGAGAAACCACAGCGATATTAGAAGCTATCAAGAAATCCTCTTCAACGACTGAAAATAATATTTTAATTATCACAGATTCACTGAGCGCAATTCATGGAATTAGTCAACTTTACCCTAGCCATCCCATTGCACAAAACATAAGAAATGAACTTAATGCACTACACCATATAAATAAAAAGGTTACATTTATCTGGATACCTTCACACATTGGCATTAAAGGCAACGAGGAAGCTGATCAATTAGCATTAAAATCCATCAAAAATGAAAATGTTCCAGAAATTACTAAATATCCCCACACCGACCATAAACGACAGTCCATGAATCATATAATAAATTTATGGCAAGCAACCTGGGATGCAACAGACTCTAAGTTGAAAACAATAAAGCCTCGAGTAGACTCTAGCCTACCACAACAAGGAAAAAGAAGAGATCAAGTAATCGTAAATCGTCTTCGAATCGGCCACACAATACTAACACACCAACACCTTCTAAATAAAGAACCAGCTCCAATTTGTACCTACTGCACTACTCAACTCACGGTGAAGCATCTGATAGTCGACTGTCCGCAGTTCCAACCTCAGAGAACATGCCGAGGAATTAGTGGAAACCTGAGAAGTGCGCTTACAACAAATATCTCGGATTTATTGCAGTTTCTAAAAGACATAAACATTTATAATAAACTTTAATTTAACAAACTGTACTACTGTGTATGTCCCCCCACTAATAACCCTTGGTGGTTGATGTGGGTTTTTGTATGTTTAAATAAAAAAAAAAAAAAATATTAATAGCTTGGAAAATCAAAGCACACAATATTTGTACAAGAGCAGATTGGATCAAGCTCTTCCTAGAGAATACGAACGAGAAACAACGGAAAATCTCTACAGAACAATAATAAATGGAATACACAAAGCGGCACAAGAAACTTTAGGTATCACAACGAAAAAGCGAGAAGTTAGAAATTACTGGTGGAATGATCAGCTAGAAGAAATGAAAAAACATAAACAGGAAGTATACCATAAGTGGCTAAATAACAGAGAAAACGAACAAAAAAAAAAGTGAATATCAGCAAGCACGTAGTAAGTTCAAAACGGATGTAATAAACGCCAAAAATCAAAAATGGGAAGATAAATGTCAGGAGCTGGACACGTACATCGGAGGACGAAAATCTAGGGAAGCCTGGAGATTTATTAAAAATGTCAGAACTAACAAAAGAGAAGAAACTATGATAAACCCCATAACAACAATGAAATGGGAAGAGCACTACAAAACACTATTAGTAGAAAAAAGACCAGAATACAGTACCACATCACAAAACATAATCGAGATAACAGGACAGCCAATAAATATAAATGAGGAACATATCAAAAAGGCAATAACCTTATTAAAAAACGGCCGCGCCCCAGGTCCGGAAGGAATACCCGCAGAACTACTAAAAAATGGTACTGACAAACTAGCAAAAATAATAACAATATTATTTAACAGATATCTAAATGGAGAACCGGTACCACAGACATGGAAAGAGGGATGGATAACATCTATACACAAGAAAGGTAGTAAACAAGACCCAAATAACTACAGAGGTATTACCGTAACTAGCACACTAAGTCGACTATACGGAAGAATACTAAAAGACCTCATATGTGAAGAGTACCATCCATACGAGTCAGAGGAACAAAGCGGCTTTAGAGCAGGTAGATCCACAATAGACAACATTTTCTGTATAACCCAAGTAATAGAAAAGAGGCTGTCAAGAGCCCAAGAGTTGCATTTGCTTATGGTAGATCTAACAAAGGCATATGACACGGTACCCATTAATAGACTATGGGAAGTACTAGAAAAAACCAGCATAAATGTATCTATCATACAGGCGCTGAAAGAACTATATAGAAACTCGACATCTAAAATTAAAATTGGAAATAGAATATCCAAAGGTTTCCTCGTCACTAAAGGACTAAGGCAAGGATGCTGTGTATCGCCAGTATTATTTAATATATATATTGATGAAGCCCTGAGGCAGTGGAAGAAGAAGTGCAATGGAATGGGACTACCGATAGGAGATACGATACTCTATACGCTACACTATGCAGATGACCAAATTGTAATTGCACAGGACAAAGAAGATCTTGAATATATGACAAGGAAACTGATAGAGGAATACAGAAAATGGGGTCTGGAGGTAAACACCAAAAAAACACAATATCTATGTGTAGGCAGAGAAGAAACAGAGAACCTGAACCTGGAACAGGAGACAATTACAAGCTGTAAGGTATATCTGGGAATAAAACTAACGAGCACAGGACGAACCGAAGAAAATATTAAAGACAGAATAGTAAAGGGAAGACAGGTGATAGGAGCCCTGAATTCGGTACTGTGGCAAAAAAATATAAGAACAGAAAATAAAAAACGAATTTACAACACAATATTAAAACCAGTGTTAACTTATGGAGCTGAAGTCTGGCAATTAACTAAGAAATACAAGGATAAATTACTAGCCACTGAGATGGATTTTTGGAGAAGGTCAGCAAGAAGATCTAGATTAGAACACATAAGAAACGACGACATTAGACAACAAATGGAAATAGAAAGAACAATCATAGATGACATTGAAAGACAACAGCTAGTATGGTACGGGCACGTAAGACGAATGGAGGAAAGAAGAATCCCCAAGAAAGTGTTAGAATGGACCCCCACAGAAAAACGAAAACGAGGAAGACCAGTAACCACATGGATGAAAGGCATCTCCAAGGCAATGTCGGAACGAAATTTGAGAGATGAACACTGCCATAATAGAAAAGAGTGGCGACTAGGAACGGAAAGGCGTAGAACGCTATAAAACCGGTTTAATATATATATGTTTTCTATAAGCAAACATTTGCTACATACTTTGTATCGTGCTTCCAATCAAAGTCTTATTCATTTAATTTTTTTTTACAATTTACCTATATATTTCAATGTATATTTGCATTGTAGTTAAGGTTAAAAAAATCTGGGTATTATTTATATCGTTAACATTTTATTGATAAGTAAGTCTTTTATAGGTTAACAATTGTTTATAAAATAATTATACTAAATACAAAAATATATCACTTTTGTCCAACAGCAGGCCCTTGGCTATGTGAAACTCCAAGAAATATCTTGGAGTCACAAACTCCAGTCGCTCTTATAACGAAAATTTTGAACTAGTAGTGGTAGTGACCTGGATGTCCTGACTGTACCGCTTGATAGGCAGCGAAATGAGCAGCTTTGGCGGCTTGTACTTCAGGAGTTTCAATTGGTTGTCCATCGGGACCAATTTGAGCTGGTGGGCCTCCAGGTCCTCTGTAGTAAAGGGGTTCGTGAGAAGCGGGAGCGTGAGAGTAAGCAGCTGGAGCATATTGAGCAGCAGCGTAATGTCCAGCACCGCCATTGTTATAGTCATGAGTGTCAGGAATGTTTTGTCCTGGACGGCTCAATACTTTAGAATATTCAGCGAAATGGTGGGCTTTGGCAGCTTGTACTTCAGGGGTTTCTACTGGAACACCATTGTGGTCTAGAACAGGGATGTGGAAATCGTAGATTCCACGGCGTCTTCTGTAGTGTCCGTGTCCGTAGGAACGGGCAGCAGCTTCAGCATGAGCAGCAAAATGGGCAGCTTTAGCTAATTGAACCTCAGGTGTATCTATTGGTTGGCCATGTCCAACAGCTACAACTGGAGCATAAGCATGAACGCCATTCCTTTGAGCAGCGACAGCGTAGTCATGGTAGTGTTGTAATTTGGCAGCAGCTACTTCGGGTGTATCTACGGGAAGAGCGTTGTGAGAAGCGTATCCATATTGAGCCAAAGGAGCACTCTGGTATTTAGCTGCTGCGTGAGCTGCTAAATGGGCAGCTTTAGCTGCTTGCACTTCGTGCGTTTCTACAGGATGACCATCAGGTCCTATAACTGGATAGTGCTGGGGATAGAAGTTGTAGTGGGAAGCAAATCCTGCTTGAGAGATAGCAAAAGTGCAAGAGAGGAGAATCTGAAAAAAATAATCAACTTGTTAAAATCTCTATAATACTATCAATGCTACAACGATATAAAATATACCAAATTTACTAATATTAAAAAAAACAATTGTAATATTCAAAAACAATCAGTAGACCAAGATATTAACTCCCATTAAGAAGATTGTATACATGGCGAGCACCAGGAGGTTGTCCAGGTCATATAATATGAAATCAAATTGATTATATCTTGATAAACAAAAGATTCCGCAACTATATAAAAAGAGTGGCCGCTTACCCTGGTGTGGACATTTCGTCTGACCACAACTCCCCAATCGCCAATGTAAGGCTTCGATTGGCAAAGGTGAAAAAGCCATCTAATAAAAAATACATAAAAAATAGAGAATTATTGAGAAATGAAAAGCTTAGATCTATATACAGTAAGCACATCAACGAGAACTTGAGCGACTTGATGCGACAGGGGTCTATTTTGTTTTCTATGCTCTTCAATCTGCATGTGAAGAATATTTTTGCAGAGGCACTGGAAGGCTCTGAGTGTGGAATAAAGGTAAACGGGTTCCCGATAAATAACATTCGTTATGCCGACGACACTGCGATAATAACAGACAATGAACATGATATGCAGTTGATATTAAATAAAATAATTACTGTAGGAAAAATATATGGCTTGAAGATAAATGCTGGAAAAACTAAATGACAATAAGAAAAAATGCACTTCTAAGAATACAACTGCAAGTAGATAAAGCTCCAATCGATCAAGTGAAAACATTGAAATACTGGGGAATGATGATGAATGACCAATGGGATCCTCAACAAGAAATAAAATGCCGTACCGAACAAACAAGACAAGCTTTTATCAAATTTAAACCGCTACTATGTAACCGCAATCTTTTCTTCAATATCCGCTACGGGATGGTTAAATGCTATGTATGGTCCATATTATTATACGGCATTGAGACATGGACGTCAAAAGTGAGAAACGAGGAAGTCTTAAGAAAGGCAAATACTGAGAAAGAAATATTGAATTTGATCAAAGTACAAAAAATTGGATACCTCGACCATATTCTGAGAGGAAGAGGAGTAGGTCACAAACAAATGTCGTGGCTACGGAACGTTAAAAACTGGACAGGCATAAATAACACTGGCGATCTTTTGCATGCCGCAAAAGATAGACGTCTGGCCTTAAGATAATTCGCCAATGTACTATAGGTGCACGGCAGTATAAGAAAAATAATTGTTTGTAAAACAAAGGAAATAGCAGTCACATAAAAATGGAAAATCATTTTTTTAGGAAGATAGAAAAATTTGTGGTAATAAAAGGTTAAAATATTTGAAATATGGAGTAAAATATAGACAATAATTAAAATTGACATATAAGAAGATATTTTATTTTCTTATTAAATTATTTAGAGTCAACACACAAGAAAAACATTATACTATGATGTTCTATACTTTGATTCAAATATTGCGAAAGAGAAATACATAAATGCAGGTTATTTATATCTTAGTTAAATATGAATTAATATAACTCTCATAGAGCATCTGAATTGCTAATGTGCTCCATGTACATTGCTCACTACACACAAACTATTATAAAGTGTGCTGCAACTACCACACAATATTCATGATATTCTGCATAAAAATGATTTATTCTTTCATTTCAACCACCTACTGCTTTATGTTTTAAATCTATTGTTTTTGTAACGTGAAATCAAGGACAAGATGTTTTTAAATACCGGCAGAAGAATGAGGTAATTCTTTTATTTTATATTATTAGTTTTATTTTATTTATATTTGAACATAAACAATTAGTGTTTTGAATTGATATACTTCTTGTTAACGGTATTTGCAGTTTCAAATTTCTGTTCTATTTAGAAATATTCAAGGTTGATTGGTGTATAAGATATCAATCCAGAATATTGGTTTACCTATTATCTATCTGTTTCTTTTAATATACTGTTAAAATTTCTTAGTTTTATTTAATTCTACTAACAATATTAATAATAATTAGGGAAATATTTACTAAAAAATTCGAAGATTTCACTAGGAATTAGAACAAAAGAAAGAAAACTTAGTTAAAATATGATATATCGTGTAGAAGTTATTAGAGAAATTTTCACACTCTTCCTCATAATTAATCTCCTTCACCTGATAAGATGTCTTAAGTCTCGTGATTATTTGAACCTTCTTCTTCTTCTACTTCTTGGAGATCTTTCGATCTGTTTAATTCTAAAGCTGCCTCTGGTTAATTTCCTGAGAGGTAGATTGCCAACTATCCCTCCATCTTTTAGGTGGTCTTATTTTTTTAATTTTGCACTGCTCTCTAACGTTTGTATTCCTCACCCTGTCTCTTTTTGTTTTGCCCACTATTGTTCTTAGGGTTTTAATTTCGGCAACTCTTATAATCTGTTTCGTTTTGTTGGTATCTTTGCGCACTTCTATGCCATATATCATGATTGGTTGTATGCAAGTCTTCATCAAGTCAAGTCATCCAAATCAAGTAGATTCTAATTTTACTATCTGTGCGCATATACTGATTTGACCAGACTATCTCCCGCAGACATACTGACAATGCGGATGCTTTGTTGATCTGACTCCTCAGGTTATTTACTGGGTCGTGTGTAGCTTGATATATCTATGTCCAGATATCTGAATTGCATCACCTGTTCTATGAGGTTGTTCTCAAACACTAACTTACATCTGAGCGGATCTTTTGCTATTGTCATACATTTAGTTTTGTTGGTAGAAATAGTCATATTTAGTTGGCGGCTTATTTGAAACTACTGAAAAAGCTGTCTCTGAAGATATCTTTTGATTCAGCAATAATTGCCAAATAATAATAATGATGCAAGATGCATCATCTGCGTAACACCAATTCGTAACACCATACCAATTCTTTTGTTGTCCATTCTGTATCTGAGATTGAGAGGTGTTGCTTTATTTATAATTTTGCCCATGGTTAGGTTAAACAAGACAGGGCTTAAACTGTCGCCTTGTCTAATTTCTCCCGGTGTTGGAATATTGTCAGTGAATTGGTCTTCTGCTCTAACGTTGGTTATATTGTTGTTATTTAGGTTATGGACTATCTTTGTTATGTTGGTCGGTGTTTTATTTTCTATTAATACATTTAGAATGTCTCCCAGGTGAACCCTGTCAAACGCCTTCGTCAGATCAATGAACAAATATACGCTGGCATACAGAACTCTATAGCTTTATATACTGCATCTTTAATAGATATATAGAATTTTTTGTAGGTATAAAGAAGGACTGCTCCTTGGAAATACTGCTGAGAAATTAAACAGATGGGCAGAATATTTTAAAGAACTACTAAATACTGAAGAACAGATGCAAACAGATGAGGCAATGTAACAATCAGAGGAAAATGATAAGGAGTACGTAAAGGAACCAACAGAGCAGGAAATAAAGGAAACAATAAAATGGCTTAAAAATGGTAAAGCGCAGAGGAGAATTTGCATGAGAGCGTGGAGAGGGGAGAAAATGCCAGAGAGATGGAGTAATACCGTAATTTGCCCAATACGTAAGAATGGTGGCAAAACTCTTTGTGAAAATTACAGAGAGATAGCGCCACTGGATGTTGTGTACAAAATATTAGCAAAAATCATAAGTAATAGATTGAAAAAATACGAGAATGACATAGTAGGTGAATACCAAGGAGGGTTCAGAGCAGAATCTAAACTACGGGTACCATTTTCCACTATAAGCAGTAATGTATATCGTACGCAGGTGATGTAGTCCTCTTAATAAGAACCAAAAAAGAGAACTTAAACACATGTTTAGGAACTTTGAAGATGAAGTAAGAAAATATGGGTTGAATATAACTAAAGCGATAACAAAGTATATGGAAATGCGTGGTCAGATAACAGAACACAATAAATTCGTCACACTTAAAACGAGAGGAAAGGATTACAAAATTGAAAATATCAGCCAGTTCGAGTATTTGGGTGTAATAATAACGAATAAAGGGGAAGAAGCAAACGAAACAGATAAGAGACTATTAAAAGGAAGTAGAGCAATGGGCTCATTAAACAATATTCTAAAAGCAAAAAATGTATGTAGGGCAGCAAAAATTTGAATATATGAAACAGTCATTCCGGCAGTGGCAGTGTATGCCTGTGAGACCTGAAATATGAATCAGAAAGATGAAATAAAAATGAAATCTGGAAAAGAAAGGTGTTGCGGAAGATTTTTTATTGTATTAGGAAGGCGGAGGTAAACTAGCAAAGAAAAACAAATAAAGAGGTAATGGAAATATATGGAAAACCCCTAATTGTACAAAAAGTTAAAGCACAGACAGTCAGGTGGTTAGGTCACGTCATTCGAATGCCAGAGAAACGTTGTGTAAAAAGGTGCTTTTTGGAAGAGGCGGGGTAAATGAAAGGAGGAAGATCACAGAAAAAATGGTATAAAAACAGCTAAAGGTGATTAAAATGGTATAGGAGTGCAGAATTGGAAAAGAGAGAGCAAACGACGAAGAGAGAGTGCAAAAAAAGAAACAAAAAAAATAGAATTCAAGGGCCTCTATGGCCTGTAGTGCTGTTATTTGATAAAGGTGTTAACTGTGTTTTATTTTATTAATAAAGTATTAAATTTGATTCGTTTGAGTTTTGATTCTTTATTAATAATGTATTAAGTAATTAAATCCCTACAAATGAAGATTTGATCTATTACTTTAAACATTTAAAAGATAATCAAAGAGTACAATAGTTGTCATTAGAAACAGTTTCTTCTATTGCTTAATATAATTGACTAGTACGTTAATGAAAATGATAGCATGAAACAAAAGAGTCACGGAGCATATTTTAGTTTTGTGTAATACATTTAACGCACGACATGACAAAAACAAGTTGGTGCTGTTACTTGAACTTTAAGATTCAATTGACCGGTAACTGACATTTGAATGTATTGTAGTAGAAAAAGAAGATAAAATGTCGTTGTTTTACATAATACAAGAAGCTAGAAATAATTGCAACATTTTAAATAAAATAATGGATGC